TGTCCTGCTGTCCTCATACATGTCCTGCTGTCCTCATACATGTCCTGTACCAGTCTAACACACTTCTCTGCCACTCCAGATTTCCTCATGTAACACCACACCTCCTCCCTCGGCGCTCTGTCATATGATTTTTCTAAATCCACAATAGAGTTCTTCCTGACCCTCTCTGTACTTCTCCATCATCGTCCTCAAAGCATCTGAGGTGCTCTTTCTTGGCATGGAACCATCCTGCTGCTCACAGATAGTCACCTCTCGTCGAACCGGTTAACAACGCCTTGTTCTTAAACATAATATTTCTGTGGTTAACACCAGAGGGCTCTGGTTAACACTAACCGCTTGGATATTCGTTCAGCCTTTTTTTTTTAATTGTCCAATCAGATGTGGCCCGCCAGGCACGCCCATTTTTCCATCGTCCAATCAGATGTGGCCCCCGGATACGCCCTCCGAATTTGTCTGCAGTGTCATCGCAGAGCGAGGAGCGGCTGGAGATGAGAGGAGGTAAGACCGAGCTGAGCTCAAGCTCCTTGTCTCTGAACGTTTTCTCAGTCAGATGGTTCTCAAGGTGTTCACGATTTAAAGGGTTTTGTTTGAGTTCTGTTGGATTTGGGTCCAGGAGGGTCCGAACCACAGAGAGACGTGGGGGCAGAGGCGTTGCTGGGATGTGTGAACACTGGGGGCTTAGCCCAGCCAAGAACTATTTTATCTATTTATTATAAGATTTTCAAAGTATAAAATGGAGAATTTACAGTTTTCTGTGAAAAGACACCAACGCTGAGTACTAGATGAGTTTACTGAAAAACTTTTAAAAAACTGAAAGAAGAAGAACACGAGCTAATGATGTCAAAATGAAACATAAAAATAAAAAACAGACAAAAGCTAAAAACAAACTAATGTTAGCTGGAGCCAAAAAGGAGCTAAAAGCTAAAGTAGCAAACCACGCTGATAATTTTGATGAATTTAAGGAGATCTTTTTGTACGGGACCAACATCAGAGGGTTTTTTTTCTTGTTCGGCACCTGATGACACTCTTCTTTCACCTTTTGTGCCTCAGATGTCTCCTGAATGACACAAGTTCATTTAACCTGGCAGCAAGACGGCGCAGTGGTTAGCACTGTTGCCTCACAGCAAGAAGGTCCTGGGTTCAATCCCCGGTTGGACCTGGGCTCTTTCTGTGTGGAGTTTGCATGTTCTTCTCGTGCTTGCGTGGGTTTTCTCCGTGTGCTCCTGTTTCCTCCCACAGACCAAAAACATGTTGGTCTGCCTCCAGGCCCAGGCCTCCCTTGGAAAAGAGATCTGTGATCTCAATGGGATTTGCCTGGTTAAATAAAGGTTAATAATAAAATAACCTATTTACCATTAGCAGGAGTTTTGGAGGAGAACCCTGGAGGAGCCATGAGGAGGCTGCCCAGGCTGAAGATCTGGAACAACCACAAACAGAAGAACCAGCCAGAAGGTCAGAACCAGCAGATCCTCATGGGTCAGACCTGACCTTACAAAATCCATCGTGTTCCTGAAGCTCACATGTCTGGACTTTGTAAATCTGTGTTGTGGTTCCTGCAGAGGCTCTGCTGGAAGGTGCGCTTCAGAAGGAGCAGCAGGAGGAACCACAGCAAGAGGAGCAGCTGGAGGAAATCAGCAGGAGGTTGATCCTCAGGGAGGAGGAGCTCTTCAGCCGGGACGTCCACAGTGAGGTAGAAAAAGACCAGCTGCAGCGAGACTTTGAGGAGCTGAGGATCCAGATCTGGATCACCATCCACAGCACCTTCACCTCCTTGACTTCAAGAGACCTGGAGGTCCTGAGGAGCGCCATATTATCCATCCAGCAGCAGGAGGAGCAGGACCTGCGCTGGAAGGACTGCCCCAAGGACCAGGTCCCGGTGTGGCGTCCTCAGGGGTGGCTCCGCACTCACAACCAGCTGCTGCAGAAGATGGTGGAGTCCAGACTCAGTCAGGCTGCCGAGGAGAACTCAACTGAGACCGATCCTCTGTCCTCAGCTGTGAAGAAGCAGGTGATGCTCCCACCGCCTCCCTCCGCCCGTTCAAACACAGACCACTGGTTCAAACACCGACTACTGGTTCAAACACCATGACTGGTTCAAACACGACGACTGGTTCAAACATCGACGACTGGTTCAAACACCACGACTGGTTCAAACACGACGACTGGTTCAAACACGACGACTGGTTCAAACGCCGACCACTGGTTCAAACATTGACGACTGGTTCAAACACTGATGACTGGTTCAAACACCACGACTGGTTCAAACACTGATGACTGGTTCAAACACGACGACTGGTTCAAACACGACGACTGGTTCAAACACGACGACTGGTTCAAACGCCGACCACTGGTTCAAACGCCGACCACTGGTTCAAACGCCGACGACTGGTTCAAACACCACGACTGGTTCAAACACCACGACTGGTTCAAACACGACGACTGGTTCAAATACCACGACTGGTTCAAACACCATGACTGGTTCAAACACAGACCACTGGTTCAAACACTGATGACTGGTTCAAACACCACGACTGGTTCAAACACCGACGACTGGTTCAAACACCACGACTGGTTCAAACACCACGACTGGTTCAAACACCACGACTGGTTCAAACATGACGACTGGTTCAAACATGACGACTGGTTCAAACACGACGACTGGTTCAAACACCACGACTGGTTCAAACACCACGACTGGTTCAAACGCCGACCACTGGTTCAAACATCGACGACTGGTTCAAACACCACGACTGGTTCAAACACCACGACTGGTTCAAACACCACGACTGGTTCAAACACCACGACTGGTTCAAACACAGACCACTGGTTCAAACACCACGACTGGTTCAAACACCACGACTGGTTCAAA